ATAGTGCAAATGTCAGTAAACATTCCTAGCTTCTGATTGGTTAGTTGTTCAGTTTGATTGCCACTCCGGATAAGCCCATTACTTTTACAAACCAAATACACCACACACAAAGATACAGATTAAAATTAGTAATTCTCTGGAAGGGCTGGGCCACAATTAGAATCTAGTCACATCCAAATGCGTCCTTATCCTTCTTTCTCGATTGTGTATTTTGCCAGTATCGAAAGCTGGGTTCCAATTGAGTCAGTCTTCATAAGGTTACAGAGAAATGATTGTGCATTGGTTGTTGAATTTGCAATGTTTAAAGTATAACACTTTGCCTCACAGGTTAAATCTACCCAACCTGGAATCAGTGATCAGTTACGATCAGCTGTGCTGCTCCGTATAACATGTTGAAGGAAATAAAGGTCGGATCAACCAAAAATCAAAGTTGATGGGAATCGAGGGACAGGATGTTCAAGGGAGAGATGGATGGATACAGCGAGAGAAGATTGGAAGCAATGGAATTTGTCGACCACAAACACTGTTAACAGTAGTGTATACAGAGATTCATTATTAAACCGGTATGGGATAAATAGCGACCCACATCTAATGACAGTATATAGTAATGACAGTATAAACAAGTAATGTATGGCATAGAGTATATTGAATGGATGGATTTATAGGTGTCAACACAAAGGATAACCCACAAAAGTCTGAATCCAGAGATAATCCCCTAATCTTTTTCGGAGAGAGCCCTGCGTTTTTTAACATGCACATGGGCCATAATGCACACAGGACCAATGGCTCAAATGTTTCATCCGAAAGATAATGCGCTATCGTAGGCCACCATCTAAAACACAAGGACAGCAGCGATGGGACGACCAAGGGATGTCCATAATTTGGCGCACACACAGTGGCTGTCCTTGCTGGCACCATCAATGTCTGTAGCACCTCAAGATACACTACACTATGTTTTCTGTCCAGTTTTGAGTCTCTGAGCGTGCAAGATATTTAGTTGTTCTTGTGGTGATATGTTGACACTGGCATTGCAATTCATGAGCGTGACTAATTAAGCAATAATTCTATAAATTCTAATAGCTTCATTATACATGGTATAAGTAGTATTTTAATTTCATCAAATTCATCCAGTACAGTACTGCAATTTATATAATCATTTTTTAAAAATAATTTGTCCATTTTTGTATGGTACCGGTGGATGAAACAAAACTTGTATATAAAAGCATAAAAGTTAATTCATAAAGTTCATCTTAAACAAGGTTAATAGTAAAAGAAAAAAAATATATTATATTTTAAATTCATCCAATATTATGTTTTGCAGTGCTTGAATATCTAATCACGATTTTGAATAATTTGTCCCTTTTTTGCATAGTCCATAAAACAAAACTGGTACATAAAGCATAACAAATTAATTCATAAAAGGAGTCATATGGAATAAGGTTAGTTAAAGAAAATAATAATAATAATTCATCCAGTTTATGTTTTGCAGTGCTTGAATGTCTAATGAGGTTTTTTAATAATTTGTCTCTTTTTGCATAGTCTATAAAACAAATCCGAGTATAAGATGATACCCGAGTTTGAGGAAATACAATTTTTGTATGTCGGGGGTATAAGATGACACCCCCCCCCCCACACCACCATGTTTCACGGTCGACATTCCTACTTTTTACTGCTTTTTATATGGTCTTGATATTGCATCTAGCTGGCTAACAACGGAACCAAATGTAGGCCTAATCTTCAAAATAACTGTAATACCATTTTATGGGCTTTTAAAAGTTCATCAAAATCTTATTTCCCCACATTTAAAATTGCGTTCATTCACTACTAACAGTAAGTAGCTTCAATTCAATAGTAAATTTGCGTGATAAGGTCAACCTGCACATAAGACGAACATGATTTAAAAATCAAAAATGTGTATGTGTTGCGCGTATATTAAGAGGATCCCCTGTTTTTTTTTTATCATAATTTACTGTTTAAACATGTCTTATACTTAAGAATATACGCTATAAAACCTAAAAGGAGTCATCTCAAACAAGGTTAGTGAAAGAAAAAAGAAATGTATTTATTTGATTGATTTTTATAATGGATTCTTTGGCATTTTGATTGATTTGATATCGTATTAATAAAGAGATGAGTAAGAGAATGATTGATTAATTAATTGATTAATGATCGTTAACTTGTCTGACATCATTTTAAAACTCACCAATCATGATAATTTATCAAATATAAAAAAAAATATAAAAATATTTAGTGGAACATTTTGTATGTTGTGAACAGTTTGCTATAGTGCGAGGGTAAGTTTCACAACGCGATGATGCAATACCTTTTTTAACAGCTAGCGCCAAGGCTTGGCCTATATTTGTGTGACCCACTGAAATATGCTGTATAAGGTTTTTTTTTTTTGACATTTTATTAGCAGGCCTCAAAATAATCTCATTCAAAATTTTTCAGTTGCTTTATCTTCCTTGCCTACATAGAATGTATAAATGTTTAAATGCATCTTCTCAACCATTAGATTGATTTTTTTGAAGTTCTTTTTTTTTTTAGATTTCTAGTGCTTATTATATTTCTTGCTCTACGAACTTATGCCATTTTACACTTTATTTGCCTAAAGCCATCACATCGAAAGGTAGGCAGTCCTAGGCATGGCCTGTATCATCATATTGTGGTAAAGGTAATCAGGAAATGGCATTAGGTCGTTGAATAAATAAAGGTCAAATGGACGTGTATTACCGTAGACAGTTGGTTAGAAATGGACCTTTCCATTAAATCCCACCCCTTGGATATTGTTCCTGAGGTCCATGGAAGGACAGAATAAAAACATACGCAAATATCTGTGGGACAACACAGCGATTTTTTTGCAGCTCGCAAAAATGACTTAAAAACCCTATATGTGCGGCCGGCCAAGCAACATTGGCTAGAAAACACAATGTTTGTTTACGGCTCGACACCATTCATATATAAAAAGTAACATTAAAACTGAGAATAAAGTGGTGTAAAAGCAAGGCTTGGATTTTTTTCGAAAGCCCACTAGAAACTTGGGTGCAGCCCTCAGTGTTAAATCAAACATTCACTTTGGCACTCTGTCGAATTTTATGCCCACCCCTGTTCTAAAATATGCACAAACCCTGGTTTTTTTGTATTAGTGAATGCAGAACAAACATAAGACCCTATGGTTAGGCTCAGCACAAACCAAATTTTCAGGAGTACCTAATTTTTTTCCTTCCTCTGAGTCACATTTAAAATGACTAAGTAATAAGTAATAATAAGTAGCATACAGGTGTGAATACGTAAAAGCTTAAAAATATTAAGTGTAAAATCTGCCATAATTGATTATTTTTGATTATCGCATTTAATTTATATTATATTTCTAACTCAACTACAAGTAATCCAAGATAAGAAAAAAAAAAACTCTCCATGTTGATAAAACTCAATCATCAGACTATTGTACCATAGTAGAATAATTACTTTGGCCTGTATTACCTAATTGTGTCTGAAAAAAGCCTAGAGTGACCTTAATCTCACAATAGATTGATGAATTCTATTCCACAGGTGACGGATGCATCGGAAGTCAACAACACAAAAAAGGAGTACAAGATCATTCCTCGGGGAGTCTTGTGCACTGCGCTTGACAAATACGGTAATCAACGTACCATATTCGCATCTGCTTATGTTTGAAATGTTTCTAATTTTTGCAAGTTCGCATTACATCTAACGAGCATTATGGGACATGAATGGTTTTATTGATGTTAATTATATTGAATTTAGAGATGCAATGCGGAGATAGAAATCTAATGTTAGGCCGTAACATTTAAAAGACTCTTAGCTAAATACCAAGATGTAATATTATATAATTGTGGTAACATCTTATTTTGAGGTTTTGAAATATATGATTTACTCCTTTAGAAATTTTAATGGAAAAAAGTGAAAAACAATTTAGACTATAATATACAGAATATGCTAAACAATATTTAAAAACAATACCATTTAATAAACAATTATAATAATAGTATTATTACCTTAATAATTAATTATTAATTGTGCCAGTATAAGTGGAATATCCTCTAAGGAGTGATTAAAGATTGTTTTAAATACTAATTAGTGTCCATGCCACATCATATGCAAGAATAAGAGCAGAGATCAATAGTTTCACTAAAATACAATAAATATCTATCTTGAAACATAGAAATTAATACCCTAAGACTTGTTATTAATTCCCAGAAAGACATAAAGTTGTCAAACTTTAGTGAAGTTAAGAAGAAAAAAATTCAAGTTCATAAAAATGTACATAGTTCCGATTATGAACAGTTACCACCAGCTTTAAACGACATTTTGGCTGATCCAGAATTTGCAGCAGTGGCACAAGTGGCAATCAAAGACATAATATCTGATGAGGGTAGAACCTATGGTCAAGAGAGGAAGGTTTGGATGTCCCCTTAAATACTGTGGGGGTTTCTCACCATTTTAATCTCTCATAAAATGATTTTACACATTTTTTGCCACTCCCTGGATCCACCACTGCAACTGGCATACCTGTTCTCTCTAAGCATCTAAAATTATATATCATAATAGTTGAGCTAAAAAACCACTGACATTTATAAATAGAACATCAGTAGCGTGGGAGAGATTGTCCAATTGTGTACAAGTACACCTAACTTGATAAGTATTATCCCAGGATTAGGAACATTCAGTTATGATGTCACAGTGGTACAGTCTTATTCAAAATTTATATCATGATTCTTTTGTCAAAAGTGCTAGGACAATAAAAAAAAATCTGCTAATTCAAAAGCTTCAAATTTAGAAATTTAAAAGCACTTGCAGCGCACTTTAGTAATTTATTATTATTATTACTACTCTAATGATTTTGCATTAGATCGGCCATCTTGTGATTATATCTAAAACCCTGTTTTGAATGCAGATCAACTAATTATATACGATTCTAATTTTTGTATATGTATAAAAGCTTCCTCAAATTGAATACAAAAACAACAAATTCTTACCTGCTTTCTTCGCAATATCTGATGCAGAATTGTTGTATTTCGTATTGACGGTGAAAGTAACCTTTGTCTTCTTTACTCTAAAATAAAAAAAAGAACATTCTAAATAAAAAGAATCCCAAATGCTAACTTTCTTCATGAATGGTTTACCATTATAATTGTATCTTTCATTATTACAACAAAATTGATTTACTGTACTTATGTACCTCCATCCATATTTCCAAACTCAATATCATCCTCTTTCCTCTCTCTCATCTCCATGGTTACTCCTCTATCTCACTAGGATAAATGTTTACACCTGTACATGTTTTAACGAGACACAGCAGCATACATTGAACTCAAGCAAAAAACGTACATTGAATTTCAGGAAAGTTGTTTAATGTGAGTATTGAATGCTCGTATCCAACATTAGTCAATGTGAATTTTGCTTCCAACCAAAAAACATTCAGATATAGAACACGTTGTATAAACCTGACTGACAGTATGGGTACTAGACCTAATGTAAGGATAGAAGACTACGTTTGTTAAATGTGTTCTTGATTAAAGAAAATAGATTCAAGTTGGATCCTACACCATAAACAAGTAATTTCCAACCATGGCTCCAGTTCTCAAATTAGACCAATTTATTATCTATATAATTGAACTTCACTGCAAGAGGCTGTCCCCTACCCAATATAGGAGCAGTAATATAAAGATCTCAAAGTTATCAAAATGTACATTTGTTTCTGATTATTCTAGAATTGATTCACTGGGAAGTTTTCGTTTTAGAAGAAAAGACGTTCTTTTACACAAGAGGAGACAAGTTTTGTTTTAATAGTCATCCTTCGAAATGCCTGAAATTTTACTGACATTTTTTTACAAACATCATTGGTTCCTATGGTGCAATCTACATTAATTACTTGAAAGTTTATTGACAAGATAATCTCGGTAACAAAGTAGGTCTATTAATCATTCTGTACTTTATAACAAGACTCTTCTTCACTGAGGTATTGCATGCATCAAATGCACTGTCAACATTACCAAATATTGTATGCCCATATATAGTCATGACGTGTCTATATATGGTCATGATGTGATGTCATCATGACCAAATATAGGCATGTCACATGCTTTGGTAAAAAAAAATTGGCAGTTTGTCCAGGGCTTTAAATGCATAGTAAATATATCAACTTTTAGTAAAGGTTTGTAATTACGTGTGTGAAGACAACAGTGTCTTTAAAGGAATCAGTAAGTCTCACACAGTAAGGGAACCCAGACAACCCAGGCCCTCCTAAAATTTAAAAAAAAAATAAAATAAATGGAGAAAAATAGAAAATTATATTCAAATTGAAGTGTGAGAGTGGCATTTCCAGCCATCTAGAGGTGCCATAACATATTTACAGTAGGACTGAGGTGGTGGACTCCCCTCAATCTGTGAAAGGTTGATCCCTGGGCTCTCACTATTTTTTTAATTTCTAGATTCGCCACTGCCATGTAATATTTTACGTTGTCTACCTGATTACTATATATTTTTACCAATATGGCTACTCTATAGTACAAAACTATTAAATAAAAAAATCTTAAAATGCAAATATGATATTATATGGCATAGAATACTAAGATGTTTCGGAAAGAGAGGTTCACTGAACTCATGCCAAGCTTACGCACGCCAAGATAGTAAAATGATTAAACTATATATAAAAAAACAATAAACTGATACCATAGGACAATTGTTTAAAATGATGATGATTTAATATTATATTATGAATATAAATAAGAAATTGTATTGAATTTTTTTAAATTACAAAATTTATGGAATTTTTTATTATTGCTATTAAACAAGATAATTATTGGTGTGATGGACAAGGAACTAGATGGAGATTTTCATTCTAAAAAAAAGCTTAATCTTGTTTTTATCCTAGACAGAATACTATGTGTTGTAATAGTCCCTTGATCTGAATCAATACTCCTCAACACCCCTAAAAGGAGCAAAGAGAGGTGGGGCCTGTACCTGTTCTAGGATATACCTACCCTCAACAAAATTAGCCCTGCAACACACTGTAGCATTCTATTCCTTAACAATCTCCTACTGTGATTTCTGCTATGTAAATTGCTCATCTTGACATCAGAGCGCGGAGGAAATTACCTCTCATCTTAGGTGAGTGAAGAAAATTACTGCTACATTGAATATTATTCATGATTTTGATCAGTGTCAACAAGACAGCTGGTGAGATAATAAGCTACTAAAGCTAAAACAAAAAAGAGTAATGCACTATAAACTGGTAGTCTCAGCAAATATATCATCTATGAAAATGAAATGCAGTTCCAACAACACGCCTTCCCGATGTAAAATAGACCAATCATCCGGCCTCATTATACCACTGCAATGCTGTATCTTAGAGTGTGATATGGGGGTGGGGGAGCATGGGTAGGGGAGCATAGGTCGAGGTGATGCAAATGCAATGAGAATATGAGGGAAGGTTGGCTGAAAGTATAAGGTTATAATTTTCAGCTACTTCAATATACTTTAATTTATTTTTGTTCAGTAATTTTTCAGTGGGGAATGCTGAGGATGAATGCTTTATCTCATGGCCATCGGAACTGCGGGCTGGGGGCCCGGGCTCCCCACTTATTGGCAGAAAATATATAATGTCTATGCAGATTTGTGTATGATTGGAAAGAAATGCTAGTGGCCCCCACACCACCTCACTTTGAAAAATGTTCCGCCGGCTCTGTATCTGAGGAGTGCCCCCCCCCCTCACTTTGAAAAACGTATCTGTATCTGAGAAGTGACTTACTATAAACACTGCATCACTGTCTCAGAATTTTTCTGGTAGTATAATTTTTTTTTAAATTTTTGTTATGGTGTCTTCTAAGTTTCAAAATCATATCATTTCCTTCAATCACTACTAATGCTATGTTCTGAGTTTGAGATAAATGGGCTAGCTAACACACATAAATAGATCCCAATCATTTGATTGGTCGATTTCGTACCATGTGACATTAGTTATAAATTTTCCCCATTTCATCAATCATCACGAAAAATTTTGTTCTGCCGTGCATTTTTTTTATTACCTGTATTTTCCACTGCACTTTGACTATGGATACAAAATGACTTCAACCTAATACAATCTTTTGATTAGTTAAAAAGACGCTGGACTGACTTTTTCCCGAAGGTTAAATCTATGAAATGACGCCACGTCACCTATAACCATAAGCCTACTTCTGGTTGAACTTGTCTTAGCGGTGTGCAATGTATCAGAGATTTTGTTTACTCATGGAGTTATGGTTTGCTGTAAAGTAGTTTAATCTTCTTTTTATCGAGTCACTACGTAGCTAGTGTGTATGATCTAGCTTACGTAGTGTGGTAGAAAGATTCGCAGGTAGGATGATACCTGACATGGGCCGCGTCGTGAGCGCTCCTACTGTGGCCGGACAGGGGACTATGGACCAGTACACCGGGGTAACCCCCTACTCTTCTCGAACGGTGTACTGGGTTCTTTAAAGTGCACACAAGCCAATCGTGTATACTGGACCTACGGTATAGAGTCCTTATCCGAGAAGACTTGACCATCACCGGAACCATAAGCGAGCATGCCGTTCGAACCAGCGCCGATATTATGGCTGTATGTCATGGTTCCCGTCTTAACCGCTCAGCCAATCGACTCGCCAGTAGTTTAATAGCATGGCGATACCTCAAACACTAGCTCAAATTTGCGCAAAATCCGTGCGGAATTTGGCCCTTTTTTAAAAAATACGTGGACGGATTTGTAGCGTAAGCATAGCCCTAGGGCCTACACTGTATAGCATATGCCTAGTTTTGCGCGGAGGATATGCCCAGGCTAGGCCGAATCGATTTGAGCAGATGGGCTTGGGTGGGGTGAAATTTTGGTCCAAGGCTAGGAAGGGCCTATAGCCTATGCCCATGTAGGCAACAGGCATAACTTTTACAGTCTGGGATACTTGCTTGGTTGGAAGATGATCAAATGACAAGGACCTATTTAGGTGTGGTATAAAACAAATAATGAGTGTCTTGTATTCGTGCAATGAATGGAAAGAATATTTTTATTTGTTGAAAGATTGACTGTTCCATTCAACTTATGAAAATATTCTTTCCATTGCAATCATAAACAGTCACTATTTGTATAATATTTAACAGCAGATTATTCATATTTCCAATGTTTAAACAAATACATATAAACAAGATATTAAGAAAATGTCTGATGAGGAAGATTTATTCTGGGATGCCTGAGTTGGGAAGAATTGCACTTAGCTCAACTATCAGAGTTGCTGGTTCAATTCCCATGGTAGTCAATATATTCTCTATTTTCCTTTACTCTAAGCTATCACATGGTTTTTGCAAAGATTCAATTGGATCTTCTGTTAATAACAACTTCCTGGTTAAATTCGGTTTATTTTTATTGTATCAATATGATGTATAATAGAAAAACCAAGAAAATAGCCAAAGCTAATCAAACTTGGTACAATTTAAACAAAAAAAAACTTATACTAATTTATTGCATCATTCCACAAAGCACCAGTATTGCTAATATCTTGAAGTGAATTTACCTACATGAGTGAACAAGCTCTCAACGTGAGGAGACTATAAAAGCAGTTGGTAAACTAAATGGAATGGGGTTTAATATACTGTAAAACCCATTAACATCACCAAGAGTGCACTGATAATTTCTAATATCAGCAGGTAATTGATGAAGCTATATTATTAAAAGGTTTAAAGCTTTCATCATGAAAACATAAAAGCAGGTAGGTAGAATCTCTAATGTGTTTAGGTAAATTAGAATTATTGGCCTAAACAATATTAATAATCAAACATGATATTAAATATTTGAGAAAAACATATGTCCTCTTTCCAGATTTGAATGCAATTCTTGACTTTAAATCACAATGGGGACAGATTTTTCTCAAATACTTATTACCATATTTAATTATTACCAGTTGAGATGCTTCTCCATACCAAATTTATTATCATGTAATTTAATAATAACTATTGATAATGATAACAATAATAATAACAATGATCAAATAATTTTCAATGACATAGCAAGGAAGAGCAATATGGGAAACAATACCAACATGGGGA